GAATGAATTAGAAAAAAAATTCCTTAAAAATAGATCTCACCATCTACATGACATTACCATCAATAGATACTTTCTGATATTGCTATTCACTATCTCACATGCCCCTTATTTCTTCCAGCAGATAAACAGAAAACCTAATCTCTGAACTGGACTGACCTGGCATACTGTACTGGGAGAAACCTTCCTGAAGAAGGGCAGCTATGAAAGTCTTGGGAGCAGGGCTGAGGGAGGTCACTTTTCTGGGGCTGCCTTTGCATTACAGAACACTCTGTAAACCAGGTAACCTATGGAACAAGAGGAGCATTGACACATGTTTGGGAGCCTGGTGCAGGATGAAGATGTAATCAGCCATTAAACATTTATAACTAATATTAATAAGCTATTAAAGGATAGGAAACCCTGCACTGCTCTTCTACTCCTTTACAGCTCTTATCCTGTGAAATCTTAATGGATTTGGGTTGGGAATATGTGCTTGTTAACTGTACATCTATCACAGGCACATCATAGGTAATCCTAACACCAATGGCAATCTGCCCCACAGAGCCCCACACTGAATTACTTGTCAGCTGCTTTTTGGAAGCAGTTCAGCCTGTAGGCCCATGGCAAACAGATGAACAGTTGGTCAGTGGGTTGTCCAAAAAGGCAATCTCCATTAAAGTAGGTCTAGCACCACTCTGTCCAGAGTCACACATCACACACAAAGCTCCTTGTCAGCTGGAAACACAGACAGAATAAACTCATGACTTTCTGGAAGAGACTATGTAGACATTCTGTTTTTCCCAACCTCCCTTTCCCCTTTGGTAAGCATTGTATTATCCTCATTGGAAATGTAAGGCATACTGAGACACATCCTTAATGTCCATTTGGGTGAAGAAGCAAAGTTTTATAAATGCTCCTGAAAAGAGTGCTGTTGAGCATTTAAAGAGTAAATAAGAACTCCAGTATCTTTCTTGGTTTTGAAAAGTCCTTATTTTGTCTACATATTTCAAAACCCAGGGCTCTAAATCCATAGAGGAATGTGGTGCTTGCACAAAATGAGAGATGCTTGGCTCTTAAACACAGGACAGGTCATATAATCAAAATCGTCCTTTGTATACTTGTAGTCTAATGAAAGTTTGGCATTAAAGGAGTCTAGACATTAAATCTCCTGTAATTTAACCAAACTTTGGTATTCTTCTGAGAATTTAATGTTATAATAAATTTGATCTCAATAAATTTAAATATCTGCCTGAATATCACTTGCCACATTCTGACCAAATCTCCACAGTAGCCTCCCTGCACTGTTTGGTAGCAAGAAGGGATCTGGATGAACTGACAGCCTTAGAGTGTTTGTTGCTACCATAAAAGCTCCTGGACAGCCATTTACATTGCCAGTACAATTATTTCATAATGCTAATACAGCTATGAATTTGATATGAAATTGCATTTAAATTAAAATAATTCTCTTTCAGTTCAGCTCTCATGTAAGAAGTACCTGAGCCTCTTGATTCAATCACCTCACTATGTCAGATTGCCTAGAGCTCATGATCAAACTGCTCTAATTCCCTTTTTTAAAGGTCATGTAAACATGTGTGCTTTGTGAATTAGATGCAAATTCAATTCCCTGTTCACAAAGCTTCCGAGTTAAGTTCCTTACCTATCCCTCAATTGCAAGCCAGCATCTGACAGCAGAATATTGACTTTTGAACTGTGGTCAAAGACATGATCAAACAAAGAAATAACTGCCCCCTGCAATGTAGATAATACAGATAAAGGGAAGTGAAGCTACATTTTTTTCTAAATGGTCCTAATTATGTAGGTCAACTAACTCACTTTTTAACGTGGCTGTTCCATTTTATTTGGGTTTTTTTGTTTTTATAGGGGTGATGTCTGTTGAAGAACAATAGGTACCCATGGATGGGTTTTACTGAAGATATTACTGTAATTAAGGACTGCTTGAGTGTCCTTTCTAACAAGGTGTGCTAAAAAAAAAACAAATTGAAATAATGAATGCCAGTTTTAAGCCATCTCCATCAAAGACTGAATGAAACACACTGAACAGTTCACCATTTTTGATTCTGGCATTTCAGTTCACCTATGAATAATAGTTTCAGTGCCGATTTTCATAATTTTGAAAATAAAGTTATTACATTTAAGGTCTTGTTAGATCTTTCCTTATAAGTAGTGACTAATTATCTGTGTACAGTTATTCTGACCCTTATTACCTTAGTTCACCCCATAGGTCTGTGCAGAACAGTACCTTATCTCTAACTGGGGTTGATGATGGAAAAAAAAAATCAGCAGTGTCAGCTTTCCCCAGATATCTACTTGTAGTATCCTGGAAATATCCATTCTGAAATAATCCTGAACTCACTGTTTAGAACTTTTCTGCTGTGCCAGACCTGAAATCTGATAATGGTAAGACCCAGAAGGTCACCAGGTTTGTGTAACAGTTAGATTTTGCAGCCAATGAAATCTCAACTTCTGTGTTTGCCTCTAGGTTTTCAACCTCTAGGTTGCAGATTTTCAAAGACCAGGAGAACAAAAACATCTTTCAAGAATGTGAAAATCTGAGATGAAAACACACACACAAACAAACAAACTAACTACAAAGCAACAAGTCACCCACATCTGTTGTCATGCTCGGTAAACCACAAGATACAAGAAAAGCTGTGGGATTGTCTAGGGCAGGCAGTTATTCAGGGTACTTTGATGCTTACCACAGGCAGTGCTTTTTCCAGGTGCATCACCCTAAAGACAAACCCTGCTGTTTCTTGTTAGGCCTCAAGACTTCTCAAACCAGACAAACCCTGCTGTGGGAAGATCCACATTTCTTGTTAGGCCTCAAGACTTCTCAAACTGTGTGAAGTTACAGTGCTGTTAGAAAGGAAAAGAGAAGTTTCTTGGTACAGTGTGTTTTGCTGAGTGCCATGGCAGGATGTAATGATGAGGAAAAGGTAGACAGCAAAACATTACTAGGGGGCTGATAAATAACCAGCATACATGTAAATTCATCATTCTTATCAATAAACCACTCCCTGCAGACTCTCCTGGTATGCTTACCAAAGATAAGGCATACAGCTACCTCATGGGCTCGGTGTGAGATGAACCAGCACCCCCACCCTTAGGTAGAACAACAGCTCCATTTTAGCCACTCTGCCTTGAGGTCCCACTGTGGTCTTGATACCTACATTTCATCCTTTCAGAAATAAATGAAAGGCAATATTGGCCAGTATATTTCTTAAAAAAATAAAACTAAATAGTAACTGGAATAAAAGATTACAGGAAATTAAACCTAACAATTAGTGGTTCTGAATAGTCAATATCTTCTGCTAAAATAGAATATTTCAAACCTTGTTCTTACCTGAAAAGTTTAAAAAAATTAGTCAAGAAGGTCTCGAGACCACTAGAGTTAATTTTCTTTACATGTCTTGGGAAAGAAAGGATAGTCCAAGGAATTGTTGACTTGCCAAAGCAATCATAATATTTAAAGAAAATGGCCCAGGAAATGATATATCAGTTATTCTGATTCTAGTCTTAGGAAAAAAAAAAAATTAGAAAGCTGGACAAAGTCAGCACTCTATCAACAGGGAATTATGAGCTAAAAATAAAGCTAAATCGTTCAACGTAGTTTCAGAGAAAGTAGTTCTTGTCAAATTATCTTATTTAGATTTTCCTTTTATAAGATTATAGGTCTGGTTGACAAAGGTAGCTGTGTTGCTACAGTCTAATCAAATTTCACTGAGGCATTTGACATACTACACATGACATTGTGTTTTAAAATCCTGCATTATATGTAATTAATAGAGCACAGATTAAATGATTTAAAAACTACTTGACTGATAGCACTCAAAATGTATGCATTAATGGAAAGGCATTAATTATCTGGGCCATTGCTAATAAGACACTGCAAGGCTCTTGGTCCTAAGCCATTTTAACCTTTATTTGAAAATACTCTGAATTCTGGTCACAGTGTGAAGGGGACAAAATGTTGATGCTATGAAAAACAATCAAGAGTCAGCTGTCAGAGTGAGCTGAATCTCCTGGATAGGTAGCCTGAATGCAGCAGAAGTTTGAACACACTGAAGTGCTATGAATGGGGAGCAAAAGCGTGTTGCAGAGTGGAGCTGCCAGCCCATGCTCCCAGGGAAAAGAATCTGCATCTTTGGAACAGTGAAAAACTCATCTAAAACGGATGCAGAGGAGAAACCAAATCTTTGGCATTAGGCAAAGTTTTAACAGAGAGCCAAAATGGTGCCAGAGTACACCCTGGAGAAGTGAGTGAGGAGATTATTTGTATCCTATAGGATATCCTACAGGGATTTTTATCCTCTAGGATATATCCTATAGGGAGATTTGAGGGGCTAGAACAGCTGTGGAGAGAGGAAGTTAGAGAGGGGGCAGTGAGATGGGGAGGTGGGCACTCCTGAAATGTGGCTCCTGGTGTTGGCCCACTCGTTTTCATCACCTCAAACCCATTTCCCATCCTGCAAGTGTCTGACCATGGCTACTCACATCCAACACCCTTCCCATAGCTGCACTCAGCTCCTCACCCAGCAGCAGCTGGAACAGACTAGAGGGCTGGCAGCCACCACTGGGCCATCAGCTTTCCCCTCTCTAAGGATTCCCTAGGGGAAACAAATAATGTAGGTCCTGTGGCTAGAGATTAAATGGTGCTAGTGGTCGTTTCTGGCTTCAGAATCCACTAATCACCCCTTACTGCCTGGATGGGCTTTCCTTCTTGGTTAAAGGTCTACCAGGAAAAAAAAAATAGAGCTGATTTCTAATCTCTTAGCACACTCAAATGACCTTGTAGGTATTCTCAGTCTGGTTATCTTTGTGTTTCTTTGCCTGTTCAAATGGTATTTGGTGTTTCCCAGAGAAAAAGAACTGGAATCAGTAAAATTATATAGGAACGTTGCAAATGTGCATGCAACATGTCCTTTTTTTATATCTGTTTACAATGGCCAGTATCTCAGTGCTTAAGCTCTCCACAACATTGAAAGTAATGATAGTATTGAGTATTTCACTTTGGTAGTACATACACAAAAATTGGAACAATACAGAGAAGATTAGCATGGCTCCTTGGCAAGGATGACATGCAGATTCACAAAGAGTGACAAAATCTTTCTGAGCCAACAATGTTCCCAGCAGGACTAGGAAAGTGATTGTCCCTCTGTACAGGGTAGTGGTGAGGCCACACCTTGAGTCCTGTGTCCAATTTTGGGCCACTCGCTACAAGAAGAACATTGATATGTTGGAACAAGACCAGGAAAGGCAACAGAGCTGGCGAAGCATCTGGAGCACAAGTCTGGAGCAGCTGAGGGAACTGAGGATGTTTAGCCTGGAGAAAAGGAGGCTGATTTTGTAGGATTGTAGGACACCTACAATTCTCTGAAAGGAGGCTGTAGCCAGGTAGGGGTTGATCTTCTTTCCCAGGCAGCCACTGACAGGACAAGAGGACATGGCCTGAAGCTGCACCAGGGAAGGTTCAGGCTGGACATCTTGAAGAACATCTTCACTGACAGGGCTTGCCCAGGGAGATGGTGATGGCACCATCCCTGGAAGTGTTCAAGGAAAGGCTTGATGTGGCACTTAGTGCTGTGGTGTAACTGACAAGGTGATGGTGACCGGTCAGAGGTGGGACTTGATCATCTTGGAGGTCTTTTCCAACCTTAATGATTCTAAGATTTTATGATCTATTTAGTTTATGACTCTAAATATCAGGAAGAATTCCAGGTTAGTATATTCTTTTTAAACATTGAAGTATTTGTCCAACAGCTAATATTGAAAAAACCCACCCCAAAAGCCTTTACTGGAGTTTCATTTAGTGCATAGACCAATTAGGTAATTGCTCCATGCTAAACAAATCCTCAGCACTTTAGTTTTCAAAATCTGAACTTCTACATAATTTTACTAATAACCAGTACATTTATAATGGGCCAAATTAAGCCAAAATCCTTTTTGCGAGGGGGCATAATGCATGGATTTAAAAAACCCATGTGAGACTTGAATTTGTTGGTTAGAACCCAATACTAATTAAAATTAGAGAAAATCCAACAGACCTTTGATAATCAGATCAAAAGTTTGCATTCATTTGATGTGGATTGTCTATACTTCATTGTTACTCTCTTAAAAGATTATTTATGTACAAAGAGTTAGAAAAGAATATTAATATTTAAAAAGTGGAACTATAAGGGCAAACACTGATTCAGCATATGATTTAATTTAATAAATGTTTGCTTTATTCTGCTCAAAACCATGACTTGTGACATTATTTTTTTGCATAAAGAATGATCTACAAAGATTCTTAGTAAAATATATTTCTAGTGGAACAAGAAGTTTAGCTTGTTTACTGGGGACTGGATTCAACAGCATTTGCTTAACAAGCTGGGCATTAAGGAACCACATCAGTCATATTTTCATTCCAAATTTGCCACTGGTTTACTGAGCAAAGTTCCTCAGAGGAAAAAATCTGATTTCATAAAAGATCACACACACCAGCCCCAACAGTCTAAGATACTGTACTGAAAGTTGTCTGGAAATTCGGCATATTTTATGCAAGTAAGAGCAAAGTACTTTCCTCACAGCTGAGTACATGGAAGGCACAGCAGCATTATAAAAGGGAGAGATTACCAAAGGTGTCTAGACATAGAGAAAGTATGACCTCAGTTAGAACACTCTGGTATTTACTTTTCCTTTCTAGAGAGAGATGCACAGTACTTCATGATTTCAGTATGCAAGGCAGCAAGGTTTCTGAGCAGTTCGGCAAAAATCCTCAGTTGACTGCAGGCTGGGAAAAATAAAAAAGAAAGGATCTGAATAAATATCATCTCTGAGAATCAAATAGGATTCAGAGTGCAGCTACTTTTCATTCCATCACACAGACAGTGTTTATTGCATTTTAAGGTTAAAAAAAAAAAAACAAAACAACTCAACAAAACTAACCCCAAACCACCCCAATATTATAAAGTTGCAATTATTTAGGAAGTATTTAAATGGCAGCTGGCTATGTAGCCTTACTGCAGACTCAGAGAACACAGCAGAGAAACTTCATCTCAACCATTCTTATTCTTCTACTCTGCTCTCATGAGACCCCATCTGGAGTACCTCCAGATCAGGGGCCTCCACAAAGGAAGGACATGGACCTGTGGGAGCAAGTCCAGAGGAGGCCACAAAGGCAATCACAAGGCTGGAGCAATCACAGAGCTGGAGCATGTACTATGATGGCAGGTTGTGAGATTTTCTCAGCCTGGAGAAAGAGGGCTCTAGGGAGACCTTGCAGCAGATTTCCAGTAACTAAAGGGGCTACAGGGGAGCTGGAGAGGGACTTTTGACAAGGACATGTAGCGGCAAGGGGGAATGGATGGCTTTAAACTTAAAGAGTGTAGGTTGCGATTGGACATGAGGAAGAAATCTGTGCAGGGGTGGTGAGACATTGGAAGAGTTAGCCAGAGAAGCTATGAATGCACCATCCCTGGAGGTGTTCAAGCCCCAGAATGGGGCTCTGAGCAACCCAGCCTAGTAAAATATGTCCCTGCCAATGGTTGGAGGATTGGAACTAAATGATCCCTAAAGTCCCTTGCAACACAAACCATTCTGTGATTCTATTAGAAGTAGGTAACAATGGATTTTTTACATAATCTTGGGTTCAGGGTCCCAGTTTTTATTTCTTACGTATTTGAATATCTTACTATATTCAGTTGTTTTATTTATTTTTAATGGTACTCATTAAATATTATTCCACATATGTGAAGTAGCATATTATTTTTGCTCTTCTTCTTTGGAGTGTAATGATAGCATTGAGAGACATTTATTGAAAGACACATTGACACCTTGTTTTTGTATAAGAAATAATCACGAAAGATTCTTAGTGTAATTAAGTAATGCATTTAGTTTGCTAGCTGATCATTTATCATTTGTAACAGCTCAGTTGAATGTATGGCTCCCATCAGTTCTGCTTGCAGCTATGTATGTTGAGCCCACACACAGGAGTATCCTGTGAGTTAGGTAGTAAGAAATGCAAAACTGCTGACTGACCATCCTTGCAAAATATGAAGTATGCAACCAAGCAGCACGAAAAAGCTCTGTGTATTTTCTACATTGCAGCTCTTATCAACCCAAGCTAACCCAGCTGCAAGAACCAGTCCATCTGTAGAAGCTTCAGGTAGCTCTGAGCTTAACTTTGAAGAATGAATTGCCTTGTGCTGCTGCAGAATTGTTCCAGGTGCCTGAACTGCTCAGTTATCTCTACAGTATACACTTACCCACAGTAAACATACCCACAGTGTCAGACTGCAGTAGAACCTGTCTTGGTTTTACTTGGGCAACCATTGTTTTCTTTTTAATCCCACAGTGTTTTTGTTTTGATCACACACCTTGAACTTCTGCAATGATAGTGGAAGAGGTCTATAAAACATTGTTTACAACACAGCTCCATTCAATACACCATCCTGACTGAGTCCTAGGCTCAGGCCTTGCTATGAGTGAGGTAAGAGCACTGGTGGGGGAAAAAATTATTGAATGCATACAGGTAATTAGAGCCTGCATCATTGCTTACACAAAGGGCTGGTGGAGGCAGGAATGCAGGCTAATGCTCTTTTAATGTGCTACCTTCAAATGTAGTGCCTTGGAGGGTTATGTGTGTCTGTATAAATAAAGCAAAAGCCAGAAATGCCAAAGTATAAATGGACAATGCTGAACTCCTTAAGATGGCAAAAGGCAGGCAGTATAGTTCGTTTTCATGATGTGTGATTCCCAGGAGCCACAGCAGATTTCAGCAGGGGAAACCTATCAGAGAAGTCCTCTTGGATGCAGGTTACAAGATCTTTAAGGAGCTCTCTTAGGAGTAGAGAAGGGTTATTAAAAAGAGATTACTTTCAGGCTGTGACAAACTTCTTGGCACAAGCTAAAGGTGACTTTTCAGATGTTTACAACTAGTTTGATAAGATTTTCAGAAGTATATCATTAAGCACCTCTTCAGCACTGAGGAGAAGTTTTCTCAACCTGCAGGTTCTTCAGACAGACTTTGAATGTGCCAAAACTTAACAAAGTAGCTGGTAGTTTACACTTTAATAATCAGCATAACAATATAACCTGTTGATCATAGTCCCAAAGTTGGTTGAAGTTTTCCAGGCAAAAAAACTTCACGTGCATACCAGACATCTGAAATGAATAACTCTACCTTAAAAGCTGCAAAGCTAGGTGAAAGCGAGTACCTCATCATTGGAATGGTTTTGGTCCAACATAGCAAAATAATCTTATTGGAAAGTCAGTTCAGTGGAACTGTACTTTTTCTTAGTATAAGTCAACAATTATGATTACAATCTACTCAGGAAAATGTCAGATCTCAGGATAGTTAACTAATCAGTATATGTCTTTGAAAGAAAGAGAAAAAAATTAATTCCCTCTTCTTCGAGTGAGCCATAGATATACAAATAGGACATTTTCTTTGGGTAAAGTTTTGTGAAGAGGGGTTTGCAATTATGTTTTTAAATCTAAATTTCACTTTAACTTGTAAAGGAGTATTTAAAGGGCAATTTTAAATTATCAGGAAGATCAGTGCCTTGCTTCCTGAACTGAAAAGTATTTAAAAACTAATTACTGACAATTTTGCTCAAGCAAGTTCATGTAACTCTCTTGTTTATTGCTACACAAAAGAGAATTGATGAACAACATGGGTGGAAAACACAGTTCTCAATAAAATAAAAATGAGGCAAGGTATTAATATCTCCCTCAAATATGTATCTTTACCTTTGATATTAGTGTGATTTCCATTTGTGCATGACAAAAAGATCAACATTAGAATTCTGAGGGTTAATGTGAACATGGCTTCCCTTTTTACATGCACAAATAACTGGGAACAGTTTGCAGAGTGTTATTTGATAACAAATATACATTTAACTATCAGATTAACAGGTACATTAATGTATGTAGATGTTGACATATCCACATTTGCACCCATAATTACTTCCAGATGTGGACTATGGGCATGAAAATGGCCATATTTTGGATATTACTCTTAAAGTCTACAGCATATTTTTATTCTCTAGTGATTCTGACATGAGATTTTTTTAAATACTCAGATTCCATTTAGGCTTGTGCCCCTAACTCAGGCAAGTGTTTTTTGA